GTATTTTCCAGCATCGCTTGTTTTCCTATAACCTCCATGTAGTCTGCATTGCAACTCCTGCAGACCTGTCCATCCAACCTTTCTGTGTGTTAACACTGATGATTTTGGCTCTTAGAGGAGGAGCCAAATCAATATGTTGGGCTAATTTTCAAATGTACAAACTAAAGCATCCAATTAAAAAAATATATACTATATCATCACATTTATCCCTCCTAAAATGCTGGTTTTAACAAACATTGCACTGACAGCCTTGCAGGCAACTCCAAATTAATCCAAACGTCTAATCGTGGTTCTAATGTAAATAAATATCACCTTATTTATTGTTTGACATTTGAAAAGCGAATTTCTGTCAACAAGCCACACCTCAGCAGAGCCTTTTTCTTTTTMTTTTTTTTATTAGAAGCTGGAACAGCTCGCATGCCCATTCACGTTCTGAGCATTTAAACCCAACAGAGGAGAAACGTTTCCGTAATCTCGCATAAAGCAAAACGAGCTGCCGACTGACCTGAATGTGGAGCCATCGGTATGTGAGAGGGGTAATATTTCCCCGGCGGGAAGTGACCGGCGTGCTGCACGGAGCCGTGGCCCGAAGGAGCGATCCGAGAGGCGGCTCGGTGCACCAGGGCRCCCCGCTCCGACAGAAGGTGCGCCGGAGCAGCGAACTCCCGTCCTTCCATTCCGAGGAATGTTTTCAGTAATCCGAAATCCAGATGGGGGGGGGACGCGGGGGGGAGGAAAGAAAAAAAAATCACATGCAACCCATAAAATAATCCTTTCCCCTGTCGGTGTTTATGTGTTGCATTCGGTCGATCGCAGGCTTCTCCAGCCAGAAGCGCAGCTCCGGATCATCTTTTCTGTCAAAGGAGAAATTCAAAGCAGCTGTCACAATCAGGACCAAGAAAAAAAAAGAGAGAAAATCGACTAAAAGGTGCAATAAAATAAAGAGGAAAAAATAAAGGAGGGAAACAGATGATTAATGTCGCTTCAGTGATTTTTTTCTTTTATTAGCTTTCTGCATGTTTTTGCATACTAAAGCCTAAAACTGCTTGGTCAAATGTAAGCACAGCACATGTGCACGCACGGCCACTGCAGGCTTCAGCTGTATTGATCAGCCTGGAGTAAACAGGCCTTTATGGGMGAAAGAAAAATGCACCTCTTTATTCTGCGGATCCACGCACAAAGAGCAGCTCCACACATTTTAACTTTCTTTAGATTCTGCTCCATTTAACCAGGATCCAGCATGTTTTTTTTCCCTATGACGCTCATTTAAAACRTCACGTTTCTCATCTTCATGTCAAATAAAGGTGTTGTGGTTTTAAAGAGGAGGAAGTTTGTGCTGATTTCTTTGGATGAAAACGAGGCAGCATCAAGGTAAACAACCCTGCTCTATTGTTTCAGGTTGATGCTTTTTTTATTTAATTTTTTTTTAGTTTTTGCTTCTGTCATCTGCTTCCAGCTCTCATTATTACACCTCACGTTTAAATGGATCCTAATGAGAGGAAATGGCAGCGCCAAGTAAAACAAAGCAGCTCACTTTTCCAGCAAAAAACTTGGAACTGCAAATAAATTCACAAACTATGACGAGCAAATGTTGTCATTTCTATTTATGTTCTGACTTAAAGAATTTCCTAATGTATATAAATTAAAAATACAATCAAAATCCTGTTTGATATCAGACATGAAGCAGCTTCTGAAAGGCAGGAACTCTCTCTCTCTCTCTTTCTCTCTTTCTCTCCTCCCCCCTCCTCCTGTGGGTGTGCATGTGTGTGTGTGCGCGCGTGCATGCGTGCGTGCGAATATCTGCACTCTCACTGTCTTTATCTGCCTTGACCTATTTCAGGTCAGGTAATCAAATGGAGTAAATACATTAAAGGCTGTCGTGAGGTAAAAAATAAATAAAATTTAAAATTAAATATTTTTTTCAAAATGACAATTAAATGCATTTTATTGTTTTGTTTTTTAGATTGAGCAATAATGG